TATATATATATATAATGATATAATTGTTATTGATTATTAAGTAAGAATTCCTTATACATCTGTTTGAAGGATGAATAAGGAAGACTTTTGATTGATTTGGGTATTGTTTCCCAGATTTTAGAAATACTAAAATTTAATGTAAATTTACCATGATTTGTTCTTACTCGTTTTTTATAGAAATTATTGTTAGCTGAAAATCTTGTATTGTAAGAATGAATATCTGACACAGGTATTATGGATTCACTGAAGATATCAGATATTCTGGAAGGATTGCTCAAGATTTTATGAGTAAATAATGCCTGTTTTATCTTATATATATTTTCAACATAAAGGATGCCTAACAGTTTGAAGTATGATTTCGGATCATCGCTTCTCCTCCTTAGTCGAGAAGACAGTTTGTCAGTATTACTTTTATAAGTATCTCCCCAACTCATGATCCCATGATTGACATAAGGATATTTTAATGCATAATAGAGGTATCAATGCAATCTATATAAGATTCCTATATTTTCAGCTATTTTATTACTAACATATGACAAATGATTTTTCCAGTTCATAAATTCGTAAATATATAAACCTAAGTACTTCATGCAACTTTTTTGCGTGATGTTAGGAATAGTTAAATGGGCATGTTTCCGCTGAGGAGTTGTTATTAACATAAAGTTTGTTTTGTTAAAGTTAATTGTCAGTTTGTTGGCACTGCATTATTTATATATCTTCGGAAATTCATTATTAACTACTGTTTGAAGCTTGGCTAGATTTTTAGAAGAATAAAGTATATAAGTATCGTCAGTGAAGATTCTGAACCTTAAAATATTTGATGAGTAAGGCAAATAATTTATATAAAGAAGGAATAGAAGGGTCCAAGCGTAGATACCTGTGACACACCACATTTCATGAAGAGATGGTTTGATTTTTCATTACCAATAATGACAGAAGTAAACAGACAGGACATTCAAATGTAGGAAAGCCTCTATGACAGTTTCTTTCGACATTCATTCAACTAATGAAAGAACTACAAAGGGTGAGTATGGGCAATGAATGTTGAAATTATTTGTATTTAGAGTATCTACCAATCCACACACTGTATTTAATGCTTGATGTTTCTTATTGTACAGAAAATACCTCCTTGTGAGTATGAAACTAAAGATGACAAGGTGAGAGTGAGACAGACGACAAAGACGAGGAGGAAGAACACCAACAACCATTATCTGGTTATTATGTCTGGTTCAGCTGTGGTGCTAAATCAAGTTATGAAAACACACATGATGAGGACAGTAAATGGATAGCTAACACTGAATCAACAGAAGATGAAAATACTGATGTTGAGATGGAAGATAATTCCTACCATAAAGTGAAGTAAGCTTTATATTATGTAGTAGCATTTGGCAAGGGTACTAATATGTGATTAATCACTTCCTGTATGAGGCTCTTTTATGCGGTTGGCTCCATACTACCATAACTTTTTATATTAAGGACATGGTACAGTTCAACATGATCTTATGTTGCTTCAAGTATCAAAACAAATGTTGAACTCTTTTCTTCTGTTTCTGTTTCAGTGTTGATTCCAGCACCAGACCCTTCAGACCTCAGTCATCGGAGAAATCTTGTCAGCTAAATATAAAAATATGTACCAGATAAAAAGTTAAAAATATAAAAATATAAACATATATACCATGTTGTCAACAACACTACTAAAAAATGTCAATTTTGAAGTTTTTCAGGTGGGTAAAATCTAACATACTGTATATGACAAAATTGATATAATCTTTTAGGCTGAAATATGGTAAACAGATGTTAACAGTGTTTTTTCAACAGGGAAGACTATTAACACTGTAGATAAGGCTTATTGTGACACTATTGATGATGTTTTTGCTGACATTATTTAACGCTAAGGCTAATGAAACTGTTGGGAGCACACAGACTGAATTGGAGGGAGTAAAGCAGTGCTTTAGTTTCCTTGAAAGGGCTGGCTTGACAGTCACCATGGAGAACTTGAAAAAAGATTGTGGATCAAACGAGGTAGTTTGTTTCTCATGGGTCTGCTTAGTAGGTCTACCATAGTGGGAGATCCAGGATTGTAAAAAAAAGGTTCCAAAAAACGTATGCAATTGGCTACACGAAGAGTAATTCCAATTTCATTTCACTGAGTGTAAAAAACATGATCGACTATACCAATATCTCAAGAAGTGGGGTTCCTCTAGAAAAATAGAAATTTATCTTGTTTATCAATGATTTTGCATGCACTGCTGCTCATGATAAATTTGAAAGCATATTGACCTAGAAAACTTTGCTTGGTTACATACGAATGCTGTCCCCAAATGCCCAGACCAGCTCATTGGAAGGTTTTCATGCTACTTTGAAACACTGGCATCCAAAGATGATAGCGTTTTCTTGGTTAGGGACTATACAATGTATGCAGGTATTCGATTTATTTCAATATCATTAATAATTTAAAATTCATATGAAGCCCATAGTACAGAGTGTACTACAGCTCAATGGATTGTTAGAAAACAAACACATCAAAATAATTAGACTATTTTTCTTATCAGACACATTCTTCATTTCACAAGTCTCAATTTCAACGAGAATGTGAGTAGAGAAAGTTAAGAAACAAGAAATAGGTCCAAATGTCACAGAGTCACATATCCAAAGTTTAAGCTTGGTGAGGAGGTAGTAAGAGAGGTGCCTATTCCACCAACATATGGTAAGGATTTTGTTGGCTGTGGCATAAACATTGATTAAAAAGCGGCTGGATAATTTTTCTCAATTACTGGAACATTCTGATCCCTACCCTAGATGAACACCCTGAATATTATGTACATTAATACAAATATATATTGATACTACAGCAACAAGGCTTGTACCCACATCAGCCTCTAAGTTGATGCAGTATTTAAGTTTATAAGGTGTAACATATTATTTTGTGTAATGATACTTTCCTTATTTATAGGATATGTTGATTGCATGAAAGAACTCCTGTTTTCATTAACCCGTGGAGAAATGAAGAACATGCTCTCAAAGCATAATAACAAAACCCTAAAGCCCTTTAACTCACAGTTCCCTGAGAAACTACCCAAATCAGAGGCAGACAAGAAATTTCAGGCAAACAAGGAAAGAAACCACAGTCCTCTTTTTCCATAAGGTATGCAATGAGATTGTATTGTTGCCATTTGCATTTTCAGACTTTTTTCAATAACATACTCTTTTTATGTAAAATTGACGCTTTATCGATCATATTTTACAGACGAGAAATGGATGAGTTAAAGTGATCTTATATGATGACAGTTCTGAGTCAAGCAGCGAGGAAAGACGATCTACATTTTGTGTTTGTCTTGCCATTGTTTCCTGATAAAAATGTTGCTCAGGTACTCTGAGGTCAACAACRATAGCTGTATATAATTTTACAACCCCCTGAATCTGAAAATTTTCCCATTTTCCATTGCTCTGGCTAAATTTTACCCCCCCCCCCCCAAATCTGCATTCCTTTTTGCCTAACAGTTTATTGACCTATTTAAGGTGACTGCCTACTTTTGGAAATTGATTTAAGCTTTTTTTAAAACTTCGATTTTCCGAATTGAAATTTAATGCTGATTCCAAATCTGGAAAGAAAAATAGGGTGTCCCGAGCTTGTTTTTGAGATAATCAGCATTTAATGGAAGCCTACGCACGAGCTTTTGGAGTAAAAATTGCGCCACCGAAGTGATAACAAAAAAATTAAGATTCATAAGATAATAGTTATTTGCTGACTATATGATTGCAGGAACGAAGGTTAGTCAATCCTTCTACAATAATACATGGAAATTTTCGACAAAAAGACAGAGATACATTGATTTGTCATATTTTGTAGTTTCGGTGCTCTTAAAAAATCTCATAAAGTCGAACAAAAATCCCTACAAAAATCTATTTTTTCATGTGTTCCTGATTTAAACTTTTCCTAGAATCTCGATATAACCTAGATTTTTAGGAGTTTTTTCGAATGGGCTATCAAAAAATATAGAGTCCCGTGCAAAATTTGAGGGTTTTGCTCAGTTGAAACTCAAAACGCGTATGGTTCTTCAATAAAATCTTGTAGATTTTTCAGCGGTTTTTGAGCGCGTGCACATCGTGGGCTCAAATCGAACGTTCAAAAGTAGACAGCCACCTTAAGTGTTATCACAATGATGGCGAAAGGTTGAGCTGTAACCCATTTTCTTAGAATATTTTTCAATATTTTATTGCATTTTTTACAGTCAGTTCATGCACCAAATGGGTTGATTGCCAACTTATTTGGTCCCATCGAGGGATGTAGGCATATGATGCCTTCATGCTTGCAAAGAGTGGCCTCTCTAAGCTGACAAGGTTTCAAAAGCCTAATGGTGAACCTTATGTCGTATATGGTGACCCAGCATATGGCATAACAAGAAATATCCTGTGCACACATTACCAATGGTCAACAACAGTTCAACTCCCGCATGAGTAAAAGTCAGGTCAAGTGTCAAATGGGGTTTTGGCAATATTATTCAAAATTTTGCATATTTGGATTTTAAAAGAAACCTCAAAGTTCTGCTCCAGCCTGTTGCCAAATTCTACCTGGTTGGAGTAATACTGACCAACTGCCACACCCGTTTATATGGGTCCCTGGCAAGTACTCACTTCAACCTGGATCCCCCATCACCAGAAACTTATTTTACAGATGCTTAAAGTAAAGCCACAGGTTACAAATATTTTTATAACAAACACAACACTTTTTAGTTTAACTGACATGTTTCGGCAGTAACATCTGCCATCTTCAGATGGATATCGTGATGCAGATTGCAAAATATAAATACCTAAATAAACAATAGAATTAATGTAGCGTAATAATACAAAATGAGAAACAATTAACTTTTTGTTATAAAGATAGTAGGAAGTCTGCTTCTAAACCAACCTTTTTGTAATAAATAATGATGATAATATAACAGTTCTTATAGCAATTACGAAGTCTCAATGCCTTTACAGAAATCCCAAAAGACCAAAAAAATATTATGAACAATCTTAAAAATGCAGCTTCTAATAAATTAAAATAAAATAAAATAAAATAATAAAAGTTAGAATATATATAACTTTTGCGTTTAGTTTACATGAGAATGGAACGAAGCTAAAGGGCCGTAATTACATTCACCTAACAGAATTCCCAAGATAAATATCCCTTAGCCCTAGTAGACGAGTTATCTCTCCTATTTCGTTAACATGTGTTTTGCTAGAATCAAACACAATCCTAGTACATAGGATCTGGCTATTTTTCAGACAGGAAGATCCTAGTACCCGAAGGAAGCCTGCCAATGTGCATGTAAAAAGAAAGCAATACATATATAGCCGGTAGGTTGATTCGCCTGCAAGGAAGATCTTGCCAGTAGGATCTGGATGAAAGCGAGCCTGAGGTAACATAACTAACTAGATAGATCAATATTATTAACCTTAAGGCGACACTTGAAAAAGTATAAGAGATTTGAATACTCAAACCAGTAAGACAGTGGGAGTAGGTTGAGTTTGACAAGCCTGTCTTTGTAAGATAGATCTGATTGGTACCTGAGAATAAATTTTTCTGGTGCAGCGCTAGACATGTTGGAGGAGTAAGATATCCAGTGAGCTTGATTTGCGGTGCCCAAACCTGACTGCCATAACAAAGGATTGAACGCACAAGCGTAACATAAAGCTGAAATCTGAGAGAAACCCCCTACAGAATAAGGACTATTGCGTCTTAAGGAAACGCAGAACCTTATTGGATTTAGCAACGCAAACTATGTGATTATGCCAGCCTATGTCATGTGAAGTAATAAATCCCAGGTCTTTTTGTGAGCGACTCTCTTTTAAGGCGTTGAAGCCAATGATGTAAGTACGAGACGTTGGATTACGTCTTCTAGATATTTACTTAATATACTGGCAATGAACCCAATATATAAAATTACTAGTGTGCAACCACTAAATGTATGAAATAGTACTACATAATAAGTGTATATATGGAAATACAGTTTAACAAAACATAGGTAACAAAATAATTAATTTGTTTAAATGTCCACTATTTTAAGTATCAAAGTAGTATTACATGTATTTAGTGACTGCAGTTCACTCCTAGTCTACATATATGTCTTTTTAAAATTCTCCTAAGAATTTTCTCTTTATGCCCCTAATAGTGTTACAGCCATTCCCCAAAGAGTGAATGCACTTTAAAGTAGAGTGATGTCATTAAACCCGTGAAATAAACATTAGAATAGGACGTTTGCATGATGGCGTCATTTGACTCCCACTACCAATATGCTTTGCGAATTTTCTTTCTTGTTTAAATTTGTATTCCCTCATGAGAATAGTAAGACAATTGGTGCTGATTAACTGAACAAAAGAAAGTGTGCAAGGGAGTCTGGTAGTAGAGGTCAATGACGCCATCGTGCAAACGTCCTATAACACGGTTTAGTAGACCCTAATTCCATTTATTTCTTTTGTGTCTATTTGACTATTACTCGTGGATTAATAATTTTTATTTCATGGGTTAAATGCCTCACTCTAATAAGACGAATTATTATTATTATACCGCACACAAAGAAATGCATATTTACCCCTTTTGCCTTTGCTGGTGCTACTAGCCCCAGATTTGGAGCTCTCATTTGAGTTATCTTCACCTGATGAGCTACTTTCATACTTTTTCTCTACACAAATATACAAACAGTATTACTCTTTTGAACCATGCCAGAGTATTACCTAAATGAACAACGTGATTATACAAACTCACTTGCCATCTTGGTCTCCTACGCAGCCGCTATTAGTTTCGTCACGCAACGCTAACTCCCCTAAGTAGCGGCTGCATAGCCGAGCACAACATTCCATTCCCTCAAATTAACCAATCACAGCTCTAGTCCCAAAATCGAGAACTAACTCGCGCCATTATCAATGCAAAATGGCGCACTTCGAGAGGGCGTTGGATAAAGTGAGCACAAAATTTCAAATAATGGCTTTTAACGACTATCAGAGGGTAGCTATATGTTTCATAGTAGAAGAGAAAAGAGATGTATTTATAAATTTGCCGACAGGCTTTGGATAATCTCGTATTTCAAGATTTAACTGTCTGTGTTGATAACCTTTCGAATGAGCAAGAACATGATACTTGTTGTTGTGTCACTCCTGATCAATCTCAAAAAGCTACTATTATGGACATTTATCTTAACTGTAGAACTGTAGAACATTTCTTTTGACTGAAGAGATTTTGCTGCCCCTCTAGAGCTGATCGCGAGTACGATTTTCAAACTTTAAGAGGACTTTGTAGCAAGCGTTGTTATACAAACGAACAAACTTTGTGATTAATTATTCAAATCCACGTCAATCGCAGATATGATAAGACTTGAAATATGTCAGAACTTTTGTCAAAAACGAAAAAAAAGATCTTGTTATTCTTCAGACAAGATTGAGAACAGAGATAACATTTATCCTCCCTTTCAGTTAGTTTTCGCGGAATGTTGATTATTCTCCTGCTTCGAATGGGGCGGTAAATCAATGTCACACTGTTCCCTAATTGGTTAACCACAGACAAAGGGAATGGAATGTTTTGCTCGGGTAAGCAGCCACTATTTAGGGGAGTGAGCTATTGTCATCTCCACCATGGCTGCCTCTCTCATTTGTTGCCCTTTCTCACGCTCTGCCTTCTCATTCTGTTTCTTGTTTTCTTTCTTTTTTTCTTCAGTGCACTTTCGAATCATGAATATCCTCCAGAAGCTAATGTAGCTCTGTATATTCCTCCTTGGTGCCAGACCTATTCAGTAAGCACGAATTTAGGCCCTTGGGAATAATTTGACATATATTTGATTGAAAAAACCACACGCACGCATTGCTCACCTTTTAAGCGCCTTTTTATCTTCATCGACATAGTTTCCTTGTCTTCTGTGGTGAAATGAGGAGAATGTTTGCGATTCATCCCATTCTGCTGGGCTCTTTGGTCTCCTAGATGCCACTTCAGTGGCTAAGCATAGCATCGTTCCAGCTGTTTGGTTACCTAAAAAGACAAAAAACTCTTTCAAAATTCAAACGTAAAACATAAATTTTTTGTACTTGTTTGCATGCGTGTGTTTGCTAGTTTCAAGCCGCCATGTTAGTTTTTCCAGAACTTTCACTACTCTTTCATCGTCTAGAGTTCATACATAATTCATAGTTCATAAATCAAAAATATACATTTACGTAATACACACATATAAGAATATAAGTTTGAGCTTGAAACGTGAGTGAATGGCATTAAAAGTACTAAAAATACTTGCTGTAAATCCCTTACCGCTAGAAGGGTCTCCTGAGGTTCAAACCTGAACTGCAAACGCTACGGCAAGACCATGATGGTCTTAGATGCATGAAATGCAGTCCATGAAATGCTGTCATTTGAATCTAAGTTCTCTTTTCCATGGAGTGTGAAGACTTTTTGTGTCTACTGCATACTGCATATTAATAAGCAGTAGACACTATGCCATCGAGTTTACCCAGATATACTTCATATAATTTGGCTGCTCTGTTGGCGACTGCTTACAACTTTTTATCGATTGAGAAACGTTTGACCAACGTATCAAACCATAATTCGGTAGGATTCAGTGATTTCTACAAGGTAATCGCAGCCATTTTTGTAGTGAATTTTATCTGTTTTTTTTGGAACAAGCTAGGCACACAGGTTTTGTGAAATGTGTCGAGTGTTGTTTAATTAAAGTGCTTTTAGGTATTTGCAATATCTAGAAAGAATTTATCGCAAAAAACGGCCACTGAATTTGCGTGTTTGTGCTACACAAAGCATGACAACAATGTCGCTTCATGAACGATTGTTACAGAACCGATGCAATGTGAAACTTACTCGGATTGTTACAGTGACAATATTTGAGCCCTTAAAAGGGATAACTGAGCTCCGTAGGCAGAATATTAAGCCCTGAATTCTTCGATTGCACGTTACGTCATCGCGGCTATGTTGGTGCCATTTAACAAAAGATTTCTCATTAGCATCCATTGTTAACGGCACCACAATGGCCGCCATGGTTTTGTCTTTTGACTCTCTCGGGAATGCTTGCAACCCATCAATACCTGCAAGTGAATATTCTGCATATACATGATTCAAAAATGTTGCTTTGTATCTATCAGCAGTAGACACGTACTCATCGAGTACGTATTTTTTAAGCCATTGCTTTTCCTTCTCGTATCCATAATGAAGGTCAGTGTGACAGTCTCTTCTTCCATCTGTTGAGTCAGTGGTGGAGCATACAAGTCTTCTGCTAGAACTAATGGTTGTACATCAGTGAATTGCAATGGAAGTGATGCAAAGTTTTCTCTCTTGTTTGGGAAATCCGTCCAAAACATTTATCTCACAAACAGTCCAAGGAACATCTTCTGTTGGGTGTTGTTAAGTGAAGTGGCAGTTCCATGAAAATGAACCACGTGTGGTAGTAGAATTGGATTGTGGATTGTTGTAAATGATGAGCAGTGAAATAGAATAGGATGCTTGGTTTGAGTTGACTTCATCAGCTGCTGTCTACATACAAGTGCCTTTAGAGATGGTGGGATAGAGCTGTCTTGACAACCAGGAGGAAAAGTTCCTTTGAAAGACTGGTGTTTCAAAATCTCTTTGCGCACTATTTTTGCATCAACTTTGGTATCTTGTTTGTTTGTATTCCTTATAGTGTCTCCAATGTTATGATCAGAAACCAGTAGTATATCTCGTCTTTGTGAATGTGCTGAGATGTCTGGAAATGCTAGGAGTATTTTTTCCTTTAGTCTTGTAGTGTTAACTAGTCTCCCCCACAGCCGCTTTCAGTGTCGTCACGCAACGTTTTCTCCCCCGAGTAGCGGCTGCTTACCCGAGCACAACATTCCTTTCCTATGAATTAACCAATCACGGCTCAGTTCTCGAAATCCAGGAACCATTCGTGCCATATGGAAAACAAGATGGCGTCGTTAGAGGAAGGTTTCGAGACAGCATCCAAGAAATTTCGTATTAAGGAGTTTAATGGTCATCAGAAAGAAGCTATACAAAAGATTTTACAAGAAAAACGAGATGTATTTGTAAATCTACCAACCGGGTATGGGAAATCGCTAATTTTTCAAGCTCTGCCGTGTATTTTTGATCATAAGTTGGGTTCGTGCGGAAGCATCGTTGTGGTTGTTTCTCCGTTGTTAAACCTAATAAAAGACCAAGTAATGTACCTTAACAGTTTGGGTATCAGTGCCATAAGCATCAGTGATATTGAAAGTGAAGATGATCGTCTTGAGGTAGAACGAGGGAAATACTCCTTGGTTTATGGAACGCCAGAAGCATGGCTTAAGAATGAGCGATGGCGAGCGATGCTACAGAACATGACGTATTCAGAAAAACTCTGTGCACTAGCCATCGACGAAGCACACATTATTAAGCAGTGGTAAGTGTTAGAAACAAACTTTCTTGTGCATTTCACGCTGTGTTTACACGCCGCATTCACTGTTAAAATACTGCAAGGAAGACTAAAAGCTTAAATGAGTTCAATTCTGAAAAGCTCTTTGTTGTTATAGAACGCTACGAATTCATTCCTACAATTGTCAATCACTTTATATATTTACGTATTTTCATAGCAGGTGAGGTGTTGTACCAGTAGAAAAGTGTGTTTCACGAAAGCTACTCTATAGCGCTAGTTGCTGTGGTGAAAGCTTGTTTGTATGAAACACAAACCAGCGTTGTATCATTCTTTCTTATCTGCTTAGGGTTCTTTAGGTTTTTTAGAGTATACAAACACCAAATAAAGGTGTGCATATAAACATTTACATGTAATTATACTGAGAGTGAATTAAAGTTTAAGTATTAGTTATGTTTAGTCTGCTTTCGTGTAAAATTTACACGAAAGCAGACTTAACATAACTCATTTAATGTTAAAGTATGAAAATGACCGTTTCTGTTATATTTGTAGGGGGACTTCAATAAACAAGAAACTGGCACCATTCAGAGATGCCTATTCCAGGCTACATGAGTTCAGAACCCTTGCACCTGGTGCCAAAATGATTGCTTTGACTGCAACAGCCACCAAGACAACAAGAAAGATAATATTTGATGTTCTTAGAATGAGGAATCCTCACATAATATTTGAGAGTCCCAACAAAGAAAACATCCAATATTCTGTTGAATATTTACCTAAGGATTTTGAACTGGAGAATTATTTTAGCTGGTTGGTAGAAGATTTGAAAGAAGAAAAAAAGTCTTGTGACAGAACAATAATATATTGTCAGACTATAAACCAATGCGCTTTATTGTATGCAACGTTAAGAGGACTTCTTGGGAAAGATCTCATGTGTCCAAAATCCACTGGACCATTACTTGAGATGCTACACTCATGCACTCCATTATCTAATAAGCAAAAGACCTTACAGTCTTTCACAGAAGAAAATGGTACTGTACATGTGCTTATAGCAACAATAGCTTTTGGTATGRGCATTGATTGCAAGGGTGTGCGCAGAGTTATTCACTTTGGTCCTTCAAAGAACATTGAAAGCTATGCACAAGAAACTGGTCGAGCTGGAAGAGATGGAGCCCAATCATCAGCTTTCTTGTTGTATAATGGAATATTTCTCAGCCATGTGGAAGGAGACATAAGATCTTACATCGAAAGTGAAGAATGCAGACGTAGTACTCTCTTAAGTCACTTCCAAGCAGAGTACACACCTCTTACACCTCAACACCTATGTTGTGATATTTGTGCTTCCAAATGTAAGTGTGAAATGACCAACTGTAGAAAAACTTCCACCTACCCTAAAAAGGATGTAACTACCAAAGTCTTTGTGCCTCTCAGATGTCGACAAGCCTCTCAAACAGAGAAGGAGCAGATGCAAAATATGCTTAAAATTTATCACAAGAGTCTGGTAGCACAACTATTAAAGACATCCCCTCAGGGAAATTTAAACACCCTTACAGATGTTTCTTTCTTACTTGGATTCTCAGATGTACAAATAAGTCGGGTATTGGATAACATTCAATACTTGTTTACTTTGAATGATATATGTAATCTCATTGAGATATGGGACACAAAACATTCCAAGAAAATACTGCAAATTGTAAGTAATGTTTTTGGAGATGTGGATGACACTTTAGCCTTTGAAAGTGATGATAACACATTGGATGACGATTTGTTACTCGATGAGTGGGAGGTTTTCCTTGAAGATGATAATCTACTAAACATGGCAGCAGAAAATTTATTTCAAGAATCTTATATAACAACAGGTCAGCACCAATTATCACATTTGGCTGAAGACTCTTTTTATGAACACAACGTTAGTGACTCAAATGCATCAGTTGATGTGGGTATACCCAATGCAATACATGATGCTTTATCAAAAATGAGTTTAGATTCCTGAACTACCTGAACAGTTAATATTGAAGTTTACCACTGTTTATCAAATTCATATAACAAATATTCTATAAGCTTTGCCCTTGTGCTTCTGTCTAATAAATAGTACATTAACTTTAATGTCTATGTTAGAATAAGAGCAGGAGTGATCAATTTAAATTCTATAAGCTGCAGTTGTGAAGTACTGAAAATTTGAAATAGCATGCTTATTTGACTCTGTAGCTCTTATTCTCATTGGTTATTTACTATTCACTATCAAGTAGTATTCATAACTCCACATGTTTTTCTTATATACACTTATTTCAATAAAGTTAGTCACCAAACACCTAGAAAGCTGAGATCACAGAGCATCATGGGTAAGTTTTCATATCAGAAAAAGCATATATATACAAAGCTTTTTTTAAAACAAACTGCAGCTTGATGATGCTCAGAAGAGGTGAGACTGTAACCGGTAAAAGGTTTGCAAGTCCATGAACAGTTATCAAGCGGTTGGAATTGTAAAAATTAATGAATCTACCCATAATCCTTGTTGGCCTCAGCTTTATGGCTTTTCAGGTGACTAACTTTATTGAAATAAGTGTATACATTGAATACTTTATCCATTCAGAAGCTTGATTGATTAGACTTTTCATGTATTTCCATAAAACACAACCATATCTGAACAATTGTAATTGTAGACCTAATTAAAATTACTTTCTGACAATCCACTTATTAGTGTTTGTATTATAATTTATATTTCGAGAAACAAATTTGATATTTTAACCTTCATAGGAATGCATGAGCTGGTTTGACTTCATAGCTAACCTTAAACTTCACTAAACATTCTATCTTGCTCTAATGCCAAGAGAAACATATTTCTTATGCTTGTTTATCCATTTGAACATATCAGACATGTCCAAACCATCAAGTCTGTTCCTTTGGAAATGAAGAAAGTAGATGTACTTGCGTTTACCATCAAAAGTGAAAACATCTTCTTCCTTGACTTTCTTTACTAGCACTTCAACATTTCTTAAAATGGAACATACTCCATGCTTCCCAGAGCTTTGAACATACTGGAGAGAACTGTCAATGTTACTCAACACTGCTCTTGTGTGACTTTCTGCATTAGCAATGCGTGTGACTGCTTTTTCAGATATGTTTGGACCAAGATTCTTTATGGAGCCCTTAAGATAGTTGTTACTGTGCTCAACATCTAGATCAAGTGCAATGTTGGTGCCAATTTTAGCATGGTTGTTAACAAATCTGTTCCATATATATCTATCACTGTCACGAGGTGAAAGTAGAGCATTAACCAGAAAAAACTGATATAAACACTCAAGTGAGTATTTCGTGCTACCACTGCCATCAGCTCTGCAGTACAGCAATATGTATTTGTACTGTCTCATTATCCTCTCTCCATCTCCCTCCTTTATAGCATCCAGGAAGTTTTTAAAAAGAAATCCATCTGCCAGTAATGCACACTTATAATCATACATGTCATCTTTACTGGAGTCCTCACTCTTTGTAGTGGGTTTGGTAGGTTCAATACTTGGATTACCTTCTGTGATTTGTACAGGAGGATCATGGGACAGCTCGTGGTCTCTCCTACTTTTTCCATTGAACTTAAATGACCTTTTACAACCTGGGAAGCGACAAGGAAATCTACCATCTGCGGTTAGTTGCTGTTGGTTTCTTGCATTTTCTCTTTCTTGTTGCAGTAATATGCTGTCAATCATGTGATTGACCGCATTCTTGTCAAAGATGAATTCATCCACAACCTTGGCTGATATATTTAGTAAAAGTTCAAGCTTCACAGACTTGGGAAGTTTGTCCACATCTTCTGGCAAGATTTTTTGTGACTTATCAGTTTTGCTTTCCAGACCCAGGACCTTCATAGCAGCAGCAATCACTCGTGACTCTATGACAGTAAGTAAAAAGTCTCTGTTGGCTCTATATGATGATTTGGGTTCACTTGTCACATTCCTTTGATTGATGAGAGTTCGGTCAGAGAATAATGAACAACTGTCGGAATCAGACTTTGCATTGAAAAAGCTATTGTAAATCAACTAAAAAAAATCCATAATTAGAAAAAATATGATTTACAGTTAATGACCACATTTTGTTGTTTTTTTCCCCCCATTTTTCCTGGCACCTAAATTATAAAGATTCAACAATATTAGTGTCACAGAATTGAACTGTGAGGAAAAATTGTGTTCTTGCATTATGTTGGAAATGTATGCTTGAGACTAGTATTTTTAAGTGTACTTACTGTCAATAGTTTCACAGCGGCATGCCAGTCGCCTATTTGGAGGTTTATTCCATCCAGGCTCTCTTCTTGGGATTCACCATTTGCCACTGAAGAGATCACATTGACTGCTCTTTCTACAGTGACTTGGTCTCCAGTAAATATCTGACCATCAACTTCGCCATCCCACTTTATGGGCAAATAGGTTTGAAATTGTTGCAATACAGCCAACATGTCTGCATTAATATTCTCATTTTTGAATATGACACCTAGGGGCACCTATATTTGAAAGTTAATTTTTCGGGTTAGGCTTCACGAATTTGCAACATCCCCTGTGATTGGTTAGGGGCGGGGTTGGGGAAAGGTTGTTGTTTTCCATTGTTCTACACGTGTGCCCTCCAATGGGATCACATTTTGCAAATTCATGAAGAACGACCCAATTTTTCCATATTTTAAACTGTATCTATATACTGGTAATATTAAAAGGGAGTATTTTTATCACAAGTGAATTGGAGGGTTGGGCTTAAAAAAGTTTGGCATTAATTCCTAAGAGTGAGGGGAGGGAGGGGGGGGGGGCAGGACATGTCAGACTATTTCTTGTACTAAATTTCACTTCTTAATTTTTAACTTATACCAACTTCATACTTTACTGTGGGTAAAATTCTTTACCCCACCTTCAGTATATATCTCTCTCAGCCACTACTAGTGCATTATGAGCCATTATATTTTCCCTCATATTAATTCAACAATGCTTAAAAAAGTACCTTTTTGGATTTTTGTGACAGTTCCTTTGTGTACTTGTGCGGAATGTGATGTATACAAACATCTCTGAGAGGTTCCAGTATGTCAAAGTAGTTGGAGATAATTCTTGATGTCAGAATCATGTAGTCCATTCTCTGCCTTTCCGAATCACTGAGACTGGGAAGAAACTTAATGTTTGGAACATCTAAAATATCTGCCAATGGTTGATCAGACTTCAAGTGGTTTCCACCAACTCTATTTTCTACCATTTTGTGGTTAACCCAGTGGAAGTCATAGTTTTGTTCTGTCACTGTAATATTTCGCCTTTTTAAAGCAAGATCAATGTTATCAAAAGCAATAACAAAACCAGGATGGCATGTGTTAAGAAGTGTTGATGTATCTTTTGATATCTTACTTGCCTCAATGATGCTTTGGTTGGAAATAGCTTCTTTCCTCTTTTCGCCAAGGCTCTTTACAAAACTATTTTCGATAGTGATGATCTTCTTTGCATCCAGAAGAACTTTATTTTGTCCTTCACCAAAATCATCAAGTTTTCCTAAAATCACTTTGTTGGAGGTTGTTAATCTGAGCTTGGTGAACCTGCTTAGAGTAGACTAAAAGCGAAAAAAGAAATGAATGAATGAGAGTGAATGAATTAATGAATAGATAAATAGTTATAACAACAATAAAGTTTTCAATATTTAGCAATAATTATTGCAATATATTGCACATTCTTAGTTTTATACTCTATTGATTCACTATAGTATATTTAATACCTCTATTGATCCACTCTTCATAAGAATCCCCATCACATTAGCTGTTGCACTCATCTGACCATTTCTTTGCTTTACTAATACTGACCCAGCTAGTGCCATACTCGGAAACCAAGTCGTGGTGCTGGCATTTGACCGTGTAACTGATGATGTCAACAAAAAAGAGTAAAATATTGGCGCTCTTGCCTTCCATTCCTCGCATAGTGACTGAAATTTGAAGTTCACTAAGTCATTATTTGACGTTTTTCTGAGCAGAGAAGGATTCTTTCTTGAACATAGCCCAGTAATTTCTTTAGAGACCAGCTCGAGAACTTTTTGAATTACAGGAGTTCGAAGCTCTTGACATTTCATGACTGCCAATGCGACGTTAGAAGTTTGGCCATACGATAACGCCTTGGCTAAAGGTTCGAACTCACTTTTCACGACTTTTCTAACAGTTTTAGAAGGATAATCGATCACTATTTTCACTTCTGGTGCACTGTATTTTACTGGTGACGATGTCGGGGTAGACGTGAAGGCTGGAGGAGCGAAGTAAACATCAGAACTAAGAGCGTTACCCAGAAGTTCACAATGAATATCCATGGAAGTAAACGGTGTGATAGTATCAGATTTAGAAGACGTAGTACAAGTGGCAGGATATGACAAAGCTTTAGCGATTTTAGTCTTGAGCTTTACATTGCAATCGTTGTTAACAACTGATCTGGGTGGCTCATCTTCTTCGTCGCTGTCAAGCTTATTCGAATTCAATCTCTTGAATCTTGAATCGCCTTGTTTAAATTCCAAATACCTTGTCTTGATTACGCTTTTCAAGCTTTTCAGTTTCTTTTTGGCTTCTAATATTTGGGTAAGAGCTCGATAGCAGATGGGGGAGACTAAGTGTTAACACGTCTGGTTACGACTTGCAGTTCTTCGATTTTTACCATATACAGTTTTGCAAGATCTGCTAACGTAAAGGAGCACTGTCACGGCGCGCGCATGCGTGAACTTTAATGATATGCAAAGATTTTTAAGGGTCACGAACTCAAACATTTACTGGGAGTATTTTAATATATTTTAATACATAATATATAATATATTTTCAAAACTATTTTGAGCCATGTAGTGCAAGATGGCTCAAATTAAAGCTGATTAAATTTCCTCTTAAGATATTAAGAGTGAATGTCAGTAAAAATCAAACAAAATTTGAAAATTCGCKGACACGGCCAAAAAATCGATTCGGCTTACATTTTGCCTATTGATAGGACTGGATGAGTAGGTAAAGGAAATAGGAGGGATTTGATCAAATATCTATTATTTTGAGAAATTACGAGCAAAAACGATTTCAGCCCGACTTTCGCTCAATCCGACCCAAAGCGACCTCGGTATTTAGGCGTTTTATAAGTGTTCTGTACAAACGCTAAAACAAAAGCAAATTTATTGATTGATCGCATCTATGTTAATTGGACCTAGTACAATCAAGATGTAGTAATTTCAACGGATATGAATTATTTTTGAGAAGAACGGAGGCCTTTTAAAATGACGACATGCATAAGGTGACAAATTCACCTGTAAACCACCTATCATTCGAGCAAAGAATAATGTATGTGGTATTTCATCAAAACTCTCAATATTTTCACCAGATATCCTCGAAAGGAAGTTCTTTAAGCTAAGTAAAAAAAATTCCGGGCTCTTTTTGATTTGGCAGCATAAGCGCCCTTTAATTTTCGCAAATATTGAGTCTTACTCCACACACTGAAATCGACAACAAACTGCATGCGCGAAAGAGGAAGTCAAATAATTGTTTTTCTAGACCGAAAAAATACTCAAAAGTACTTCTTCATACCTTAAAACGATTCCTTGGTATGTCTAGCTACTTTATATTTAATTATTTAAAATATTTTGGGAGTCAAACTGGAGTTTGAAATCCACGCGTGGCTCGACTTTTTGAGACATAATTACGATAGTTAACTAAGTATGCTTTGGTGTATCGTAAGGTTCTGAAATGGCACATCGGTTGTGCTATAATACTAAATGAAAATAATTTATATTCAAACGTTAAGTCAAAAGTTTATTTCAGTGTCGTTTGAAGGAACTTTGCCGAGAACTTTCACCATACGAC